GCGGAGGCTTTAGCCGTGAACGCATGGGAGGTCGCCGTGGGGAGCAGAGTGGCGGAGGTGCTGAACATTTGGCAAGGATTCATGGCACGGAAGAAGATCGCGTGAATTGCCCGTTTTATTTCAAAATAGGCGCTTGTCGACATGGTGACAGATGCTCTAGACTGCACAATAAGCCTGTATTCAGCCAGACAATCCTGGTAAGTCACATGTATCAGAACCCGATTGCGCAAGTGATCGCGCAAAACGGAGACCCCACTACACTCGATCAGCGCCAAGTAGACGAAGAGTTTGAAGATTTTTACGAGGAGATTTTTGAGGAACTGTGCAAGTTTGGTAAGCTGGAGGAGCTTAACATTTGTGACAACCTGGGTGACCACCTCGTGGGCAATGTATACGCTAAATACGAGGACGAAGAACACGCTGCGGCAGCTCAAAAAGCTCTATACGGCCGCTTCTATGCAGGGCGGCCGCTTGTTTGCGAATTTTCCCCCGTGACTGATTTTAGGGAGGCTCGTTGCCGTCAGTTTGATGAGGGAACTTGCAACCGTGGCGGTTACTGCAACTTTATGCACATCAAGACGGTTCCACGATCAATGCAGCGCGAACTAGAGAGAATGTTCAACCGTGGAAGACGCGACAAAAGTCGCAGCCACAGTCGAAGCAGGAGTAGAAGTCGCAGTGGAAGTCGCGGTCAAAATGCGCGTGGACGCTCCCGCTCACGCAGTGGATCGCACAATGCTTTGAAGAGCGCATCCTCCCGTCATAGAGGTAGCCATAGTCAATCACCGTCGCCAGTGAAAAAAACCCGCCGTAGTCGTTCGCGCAGTCACAGCCCGCGATCTCCAGCCCGGGGATCGAGTCGTGCCACAATTAAGAAGGACTGATGCATTCTCGTTTGCGGGCTAGTTATTTGACCCAACCTTAATCAGTCAGGTTGTTCAGAACGCTTATGTAGGTCGGTATATACTGATTGATACCTGCATCGCGGGAAATAAACTTAACACCATTCAAGACATAACTTCCATAAATCCAAGCTTTTATGAACTTTGCAAGGAGATATTAGGAATTAAAGTAAGCTAGCAAATCCATGTCCTTTCATAAATGTTGCGTCAGCCCAAAGGCTATGATAGATTAATAAATATCATAGAATGTATCCTGCATATGTTGCTTACGTTTACGGTCCCCCTTCAGTTCATTGTTGCGTTGCTTTTTCATAGCAGAGTTTTTGTTGAAAAGATCGCGCTACATAACGTCTCATACTCTATCGTTAGGGCCAGATGTACCAAAAGCTGCAGTGTCAATTACCCTGTCGATTTTGTGGTCTTCAAAAGTTTCCGGCAAACCTAGCATCGCGCGCAACGCATTATTGTACGTGATGTGATCTTGAAGACCTGTTTGTAGGCATCCCTTCACCGCTTCAAACTGTTTGACAGATTTCCACGATCTTATATCCAGCATCTTGCCTCTCACCAAAAAAGAGACGTGTGGAGTCTCACTGTTCTATTGAAAACAGCGTTTGCAGATAGTCAGAAGCCTACCAATACTTGCTTTTTTATGCATGCTCGAATCAGACTCACAGCAAGCGTCGAGTGAATATCGCGAAATACAATGTGCTGAGTTTTGCGATCTTTTTTGCTACTTCTTTTGTTACCGTCCTTTGACATTTCAAGAATCTGAACCACAATGTCTTCACCACATGGCAACGAAACACTGCAATTCTCCGCGCTTTCGTGCAGCAGCGCGAGATTTTCACCTGCAGACGAGCGCACATCAACATCTTTGTGATCAAGCAAAGCTAAAATCTGTGGCACAATTCTAATAAATGTCACACACAACCTTAAGGGTAAGCGTAAAGGCTAATAAAAGGCTGAGCCTCACATTTACCTTTCCAAAAATGATTCGCTCGCGAGCATCTCATCTGTCAACGAGGATGCAATCAGGCCCCAAGACTCAAGAGCGGCTTTGCAAATGCTGCTATGTACGCTCAGATTAAAAAACGTTTCAAACAGCTTCATCAGGTCCTCAGTGTTTTCGTTTTCAACGATGCACAAAAAGCCGATTAGTCCTAGCGCATGGATGGTCTAAGCAATGTTTTATACGATTTAGCAACAGCATTTTATCAATATTAGGCAGCAGTGAGGACACACCGAAGATTTCACTTTCGCATTTCGAGCGTTCCTAATTAGTGGCCTTAACACGTGCTTTGACCGGTGAAAGAAGCGCTCCTCGTTGCTTCCAAATATAATAGCCATGATAGCTAATATACGGGATCCTAGTACAGCTTCTTCTTCTGAAGGCTTACGAAGGCATTCTAGCACATTATTAATGAAGCTGCAGCCAATCACGTTAGCAATCTGTGTGTGAATCCTTTACTGTAATTTAAATGCGTACCTGTCACTGACATCTTCAGGAGCCAAGCAATTCAGTAAGTGTGTAGTTAATTTCTCCAGGGCAGCTACTCGAGTCCTCGTTCTAAGGAAGTCAGCATTCCGAAGCGTTGGCCATCAATCACTCTCATTTATAGGTAAACTACCGTTTTTCGGTCAGGCTCGCTATCGTTTTATCAATTTTGTGCTCGTCGTCCACATTTTTCGAGTAGCTATCACAGAGTTCACCATTATCTGTCACGCACGCATTCAACGACGCTACACATGCCCCGTATTCATTATCGTTTTCAAGGCGCATACACCGTCTTCCTGCAAAATATAGTCACGTATATCAGGATCCAAACTGCGGAGAGCACACTCACGTCAGTTAACATGCCTCCGCTCTTCTTTCCCATAATTTGATGCCTCCTAATGTAACAGATGCAGCCATTTGTTGTCTTAAAAACGCACTTAATTTTATTAAGTACGGTGCTCCATCGATGCGAAAAGATTCAGCTGCCCTATCAAAAGTGAAATTTCTGACGGCCTACAAGCTACACCAAACAAAGCTACAGACGTAAGCAACTATCAGGAGGCCATCACCACATAATAAGGTTAGGGTTTGTATATTTTTACGACGGGCTCAATTTCTCAAGAGCGCTGTCTGATTTCATGCAATGTAACCTCTTTTTGTTCAATGCACAGACTTGCACCATGAGCTCGCACTTAGTGACGGCAGGAGATGTCAGCGAGACCGCTGACGACGTGCAGAAACTTGTGCATGTCACAGATCAAGCCAAGGACATTGATGAGTCCGGTGCTATGCCGATCGACGAAGGGCTTTACAGCCGCCAGCTATATGTAATGGGTCGCGAAGCTCAGCTGCGCATGGGATCTTCCGACGTGCTCATTGTTGGACTTGATGGTCTTGGCGTGGAAATTGCCAAAAATGTCATTTTGGCTGGAGTTAAAAGTGTCACGGTGCACGACGACACACCAGCTAGCATGCTCGATCTAGCTTCACAATTTTACCTGACAGAGGCTGATATCGGAATTCCGCGAGCGGCGGTTTCTGTGAAAAAGCTTGCGGAGCTCAACCCTTACGTGCCTGTCCGTTGCCATAGTGGTGAGATCACGGAAAAATTTATACATGGATTTCGGGTGCGTGTGATAGGAATGTTTTGCGAACGTAGATTTACTGTTTTTCTTTCCATTGTGCTCAACTAGGCGATCGTTCTCGTGAATCAGCCACTTAAAGATGCAAAACAAATCGATGCTATTTGTCACTCCAAGTCGATTGCTTTCATCGCAACTGAGGCCCGCGGCGTCTTTGGCTCAGTGTTTTGCGATTTTGGGGACAAATTTACTGTGTCAGACCGCGACGGTGTTGAGCCTATAAGCTGCTTAATTTCATCCATTTCTAACTCCGTGCCTCTTCTTGTGACTGTGAGTGACGAAACTCGTCACAACCTCGACACGGGGGATTTAATTTCTTTTCGCGACGTTCCGGGCTTTTCGTTCTTGAATGACAGCAAACCGAGGAAAGTAACAGTTACAGGTCCGTTCACATTTTTAGTTGATGTCGTTGATGATGCGGAGAAAAAGCTTATAGAGGAGGGACAGCCGTCGTCTGGGGGTTATATTACTCAAGTAAAGCAGCCTCTTGTGACCAGTTTTAATGATCTTGAACATGCAATTGCGGCACCGGGAGAGTTTTTAATTAGTGACTTTTCCAAACTTGGCCGCTCTGAGCTGCTTCACATAGCATTTCAGGCCTTGAACGCTTTTCGGGAAAATCATCTAGGTAGCTACCCAAAGCCAGGATGTATGGATGATGCAGAGGAGGTGTATGCTCTTGCTATCGAGATCAACAAGCAGTACGCTTTGAAAAATCAATTTAGCGTCAAGGATCTTGGCACTCCCGACTCGAAAAAAATTGTTCAAGCGCTTGCAGCTGGCGCTACTGGCGTCATAGCTCCCATGGCGGCATTCCTCGGGGGTATTGTTGGTCAAGAAATTCTGAAAGCGTGCAGCGGCAAATTCACACCAATTCAGCAATTTTTCTATTTTGACGCAGTTGAGTGTCTTCCAGAGGCTGTACACACTGGAAATTCGGATGAGTTCTTGCCGATTGGCTCTCGATATGACGGACAAATTAGCGTGTTTGGCCGGAAGGTACAGGAAAAGATAAAAAGTCTGAACATATTTCTTGTTGGCGCTGGTGCGATTGGCTGCGAAATGCTAAAGAATTGGGCTATGATGGGTGTGGCCTCCGACAAAGATGGTATCATTCATATTACTGACATGGATACGATCGAGAAATCAAATTTAAATCGTCAATTTTTGTTTCGCTCAAAGGATGTACAGCAAGCCAAGTCCTTAGTTGTAGCTCGAGCTATCAAACAAATGAACCCAGATATTAATGTGCAAGCTTACGTGTCTCGGGTTGGCGCAGAATCCGAATGCCAGTTTACCGACGATTTCTTTGAGTCGCTTTCTGGTGTCTGCACTGCACTTGATAATGTCGACGCTCGTTTGTATATGGACCAGCGCTGTTTATTCTACGGACTTCCAATGTTTGAGTCGGGCACGCTAGGAACAAAGGGCAACACTCAGATAGTCGTTCCGCACACAACTGAAAACTATGGTGCTTCTCGAGACCCTCCTGAGAAAAGTATTCCCATTTGCACACTCAAGAATTTTCCTCATGCAATTGAGCATACTCTCCAGTGGGCACGCGATTGGTTCGAAGGAGAATTTTTTCAAGCTCCGTTGGATGTAAATCGCTACTTAAAAGGACCAACGTTTATAAACGAGCTTAATGAGCAACAAAATACGAAGCTGGAAATCTTAGAGCGGCTCAAAAGCTCGCTTGTGGATGATCTTCCGATGTCTTTCGACGACTGCATATTTTGGGCTCGCTCGAAGTTTGAAGAACTTTTTAGCAACCAGATAAAGCAACTTCTTTATAATTTTCCCTTGAACCAGGTACGTTCTCGGAATTTGCTCCTGATCATATATTAATATCTTTGTAATTTGCGTTTTAGCTTACGACATCGGGTACTCCGTTCTGGTCTGGACCGAAACGGCCACCGACACCTATTCAGTTTGATGCGAAAGATCCGCTGCACATGAACTTTATCATTTCTGTAGCAAACAGTCGTGCAAAGATTTATGGCTTGAAAGGACACACTGACAGAGATGCATTTGTACGAACCCTAGACGGTATATTCCTCCCGGAATTTATTCCTAGAAAAGGTGTGAAAATTGCTGCTTCCGATGCAGAGCTTAGAGAAGGAAGCGCTTCACAACATGATAACATGGATAGCCAATGCGACTATATGTTGAAGAATTTGCCGAAACCGGATTCGCTCGCTGGCTACCGCATGCAGCCTATCGAGTTTGATAAGGACGATGATTCTCACATGGAGGTAATCCTTTCTGTTTCTAATCTACGTGCGCGATCGTACACGATTCCAGAGGAGGATATGCACAAATCGCGTTTCATAGCTGGAAACATCATACCGGCCATTGCTACAACAACAGCACTTGTGACTGGACTTGTATGCTTCGAGTTTCTAAAGGTGTTTCAGAACAAGCCATTAGACCACTACAAAAATGGATTTGTAAATCTTGCGCTGCCACTATTTACGTTTGCGGAACCGATCGAGCCAAAATATACAAAGACAATGATAAAAGGCAAGGAACTCAAGTGGTCGGCGTGGGACCGCCTCGAGGTGGACCGGGGTGATATGACGTTGAAGGAATTTCTCGCGTTTTTCGAGAAAGAATATGATGCTGAGGTGTCTATGCTTTCGTACGGAGTAACGATTCTTTATGCGATGTATTCTGCTAAATCGCGGTCCAAGGAGCGGATGGAGATGAAGATTTCCGATCTGATTCGCACAGTGACCAAAAAGCCTATTGATTCCAAGTTAAAGTACCTTATTCTGGAGGTGTGTGCCATGGATGCAGATGGAGAGGACGTAGAGCTGCCTTACTTGCGTTACCGTATCAAGTAGTAAGTGCGACTAATTTTTTTTTCGACTAATCAATTTCTTTGCACGCCGCTGTGTTTAACGGAGTTGCCGTATATCTTGCACAGAGAAAGCTCGTACTTTTTTTTCATAGGCTCCTTTATTTTGATTTGATATATCTGACTACGAAACTATATTCAATATTGAATGGGCTAACAGCTCACGTGGCCGACGGACATAAGTCCAATACTTTGGTGTCTCAAAGTTTTGTACAATTGAACAAAAGTGTAAATAACATACATCCTTATACGAGTAGGTATGTGGATGTTAGCCTCACACATAGTGAATATGCTAAAATAAATATTTTTTAGTAGTTGAGTATGATTAATCCCATTATAGGTAATTTTTGAAACGGAAGAGCCTGTGGGCGGACGAGGGCATATTGTGCGTTAATAAACACTGGATCTTTGAATCAGAGTACTCTATGTGCAAGGCGCACTTGATAAAACTTATAATCAACCTGACGATCGAGTCGTGAAGAGCTGATATTCTCTGTGAGGATGTTTGTCCTCGGGAAAACAAGACGCGCTTATACGCCCAGAGTTTTGGTACGCTTGGCGGCCTAAGGGACGCAAGTGGTACGATGTCAGCTAATCTCAATCATTCGTCAATAAGAACACAAATGGTCTCCCCGCGAGGTCGTTGGTGTTTAGCGTCCAGCCCCTCGAGGGCAGAGATTTTAGTGTCTGTGGTTGAGAGAAGTGGGACGGTCATGAATTTGGTCATGCTCCATATATCGTTGACCCGACTTACACCTTCTTGAAGGTAATAAGCAAACTATCTTGCCAATCTTTGTGCGGGATGCGGTGACGACGTCGCTGTGCGCAACAACACGTGATCTGTTGAATTTTTAAACATTTAAGAGCCCAACAGATGCATCCTAAATCAACGACTATTAAATCGTGTTTAATTTGTCATGTAAAAGTAGAGCAAAAAAATTTCTTACGTATGTGCGTTGGGCGAGCAGTCTCCATCTAGAAGGCTGTAAGCGAGAATAAGCATTAACGTGCAATACCTTCATAGAACTTTAGCATAGATACGTCGAAGTGACAGATGTCGCAGCTGTGTGCACCGCCTAACCAGGTCTATTGCGACCCTCGAGACATAGAACTGTACTTTACATATGATGTGACACCCACCGCAACCTCAGAAGTGGCTGAGTGGAGGTGTCGTTACGAGCTGCACATCCTCCCTGAATTTGGTAACTGTTACCACATCTGGGAAAAGGTCTGCCGTTTTTGTGGCATTGAGTGGTCGCAGCTCCGTATATTGTTACCTGTTGACTATAATTTTGAAGGCACAGCTGGGGTACGAGAGGTAGAAGCCCTACGAGCGCGCTAGACACGATGGATCTCATCCATACTTGGCAGAAAGAGAAAAAGCTTTTCATTGTGACGATTCGTGGTACGCGCAGATATTACGTCGTGGAAGTATCACACATTTATGCCCTTTGACTCCTTTTGTGTTGCTGAGAGGTTTGAAGGGTCGATCTTCCGGGTACGGTCATTTGGCTGGACTCTCGGGAAGCGACTGACACTGGTAGTGTCAGTCGGTACAAGACGTGAGATAAGTGGGACCTACCGAACCTCGTAGAGATTGCGACTGCCAAAGACTCAACCAGATCGTTTCTCATCCACTTAAACGGTTAAATGTCCTGCACCGAAGCTATCCCAGCTATGTGATGTTGCCAATAAAACGTTCTCTTTCTGGTAGAGGTGAGAACATCATTATCTGGGCAGCTCCACAATCAAGCAATGGCATGACGTCCAAAGGTTTCGTCTTCAAGTCGATTTTGGCTTATAGTGTGTAAGCAACGCCACAACCAGGACATATTAATAATATTTATGCTATGACGAGCCGACGCTCCACACTTTCGAAATCGTCATATTTAACATATCTTTCGACTCGCTCCCGTTTTAAGATGCACAGACATTATATCCGTAGCTGGCATCCTTGATGACACTGCGTACCGTCTACAATTTTCGACAGTCGCGCGACGTATGTACTAGTGCAAAGCCCCTGTATATGTTAGAGCTTTTCATGCATCACAAAACCCAAGACATTGATTTCAGCAATCAACAGTCCTTGGCCGTGAGCTCCACGTCTATCAGACAGAGTTGATTTTTGGGGGTTGGGTCTCACTGTATGCGTAGTAGAGTTTGTGGTCATGGCTACCCTTTTAATTAAAAAGGCAATTATCTCACCGTCTGCAGACTCCTTAACGCTTAAGGTTGGTAGCGTTGTAGCCTCATCGCAAGCCAGTTCAGCCACAAATTTCTCGCTGGTTTGCTGAATTGGGCTACACTTAGCAATTACAAGAACGTTCATCTATGTACCATCAGTATGCATTGTGGAAATTTATCAATCGGGGATTACAGTATGGTTTCCAACACATCAAATGTGGAGTCTCAAATATTTGGTGTGGCACAGAATATTGGTTACTACTTGAAAGATTGAACCTGTGGCGAAAGCGAAGTATCTCTGCTTTTTGAAGTTGGTGATAAATACTTTCCGCGATAGTTGATGCATAAGTTTTATAAGGTTTAAGCTCCGTACACCCAAGATCGTGTATAAGTTCAAGCTGAGGCTCAATCTCAGAACACCCTTGATTTTATTGGAACCCAATGTCATATGAGCTAATCCTCTGGAATCCCTTGAGGCCTTTTGCATTCAGCTCTAGGAATCATCAACCCATTCATATCCTTTGCAAGCTTTCGTTCAAACAATGAACTTTTTCTTTTACCCTCCATGCCGGATCAGTGTTTCTTTCTCCACAACGCGGATTGCTTTCTCGCCGCACAAGCGTGTGTGTTGTGCTTAAGGAGCCGTTGTGATCAGCGTGGTTTTACATCTGGTAGCACAAAAAAAGTCTTTCGACGATACTTAATTCTGGAATGACGAAGTGGCTGATAAGCACGCCTGGGCCTTGTCCGAGCGACACAGGATGGAGTTGGAGCACAGCACTGTCCTTCAATACGGCACGCTGAGTTGTTAGCAAATGAGATTTTTCTTCATTTATGTACATTTGAGTGAATGACCCTCGAGCAGATGCGTTAAGTCATCAGACAAGCTGCAGTACTCAGTTTTTGCAGTCGTCTTCCCCGGATGACAAAAACACCGCCGTCAGTTTTATACCTTATGAGATTATGGAATCTCAGAAGCAGCTTACAATCCCTTTTTTTCGTATAAAACGATGCTTTTGACTCTAAATGATTTTCACACGATGGTTTGTCGAGTTAGGTGCAGAAACCATTGCAAGACAGCTGCGAGACCATTTGCAGCAAGTGTTGTTCGCGATGTCCAACCTAGCGGGTCGTGTGGAAGATTGGGGCTGCCGTAGTTCTTTCCTTAGACAAAGCTAAGGTAAGATCACCGACCATATGTTCTTCACAAGAACCAGTACGAGTGCAGCGGATCGTAATCCGATGTCTCCAGGAGTATGTTAAACCTTTGCCAAGTAAAGGGACTCTTTCGTTCAAAATTGAAATTGTATCTAATTGTTATAGTAGCAGCAGAGCCGCCAATATCGAGTGCCCCAAGTTTTTCTAATTACAATAGTAATACAACAATACCTAAATAATATAGTAAAACCTAATTTATATAGTATTATGCATTACAACTGGAAATCTTGCCACGTGGTGGCTTCTTGTTATGGTGTAGCCACACCACTGTGTTATTTCACTAAGTGTGTAATTCATATCTATGTATGGTCGCTCAATCTTGTGCGACCCGCCGTTTCTCACAAGGGCACGTGTAACCACGTTACTCTCTCCCTCATTGAAACTTGAAAATACCCAATTCACATTTAACCGTCGCCTCATACGAGGCTCGCGTGTCTGAGACATCTTGACGTACTTTAACAGCAAATTTAAACCTTCTCCGCTCAATGAGCACTGCTTCTACGACACGCAAAACACCCAGCCTAGCTGATAGCGAGGGCGCCGCGTGCAAAGCCTTACTTCTTCTACACAGGGTACATCTCCGGACAGTACGTTCACGGCTCCACGGGAAGCACATCTTAAGCCCTCGGCAATCAAGCGCAACACACCGCACCCCGTCGAGGAGCTGGAGGAAGTCAAATACGAGTCGGATACCCCTTTCCCAATATGGTAAGACGAGAAGGATGAATTGCGCCAACGGCTCGAAGTGAGCCCAGCTCAAACTTAGCGGACATCATGTCCTTTCTCCGACCTCTCGGCTTCCGAAAGAAGTGGTGTTATTACCAATCGCCTCGGTAAGGCTCAGGAGCACAATTGGAGGTAGCTCAAAGGGCGGCTCTTCTGCGCTCGTATCAAGTTCGGTCTTAGACCTTCGCGTGGAATATGGCTTCCCCTCTGCAAATCCCGCTACTAAAGAGAAAGACGCGATCCCTCGATCGTTAGGTGTCTATGTAGTCGGGTCCTCGGCCACTACACAAGCTATGCTTGATCAGCGGAGAGCTTTGCGACCTCGCTTTTTGATACCACAAATAATCCAATGGATCGATACCGCGCTCGACTTCGAGCATAAAAAGAAGGCGCTCATATACACGCAATGCAATACATTCATTCCTGTGGTGCTCGACCCTCGCGAAACCGCTGCAGATGATGATGAGCTCTTTGAGAAATGGGTGCAGCGGTACCAGAATCGTTCTTCGCTGTCTACTTTAAAGGGAAGCCACAAGGAAGTGTACGTGTGCGTATAGTGCCATTTTTAATTTGGATTTGCCAAACTCGAGGCGCAATGCCGTCTTCCTCCGTATTGTCGCCCTGCGACACATGAAATCATTTATCACCGCGAGCTCTGTAATTTCTCACACGGATGAGTTTACGACCACAGCAGCACACGACCGTAGCTTGAGCTCAGCTCATGGTTCTTCGACTTCCAAGGCTACTGCTGAGAAGCGCGGGGCTCACCACGGCGCGAAGCATCATGATCCTTCTGATCATAATCGTCCACGACATCCGGGCAATCTTGCCGAAGTGGCACCTCAAACTTCCACGAGT